TTTTTTTTTTTTTTTTTTTTTTTTTTTTTTGTGGGGGTATTTTTCTATCATCATCTGAGGACAGTTGAATTCAGAATTATAATTTTGTTGGATTTCCTTCTTCTAATAGATGACGAGGAAAAAGATGAAGTAAGTGATTTGCCTACATTCCGCGAGTTTACTCTTGAACAGCTGAGAATAGCTACTTCTGGATTTGCCGTAGAGAATATAGTTTCCGAACACGGTGAAAAAGCTCCAAATGTTGTTTATAAGGGAAAGTTAGAGAACCAGAGGAGGGTTGCTGTCAAACGCTTTAATAGATCTGCATGGCCTGATTCCCGACAGTTCTTAGTAAGTTATTCTAAAGAGCATTTATGTAAATACCATCTGGTAATTAAGTTTCTATATTCATTTCACTAGCTAGGATAATTAGTGTTTCTTATGTAAGACAACCGAGCCATAAATGGGAAATTGAAGTATGACACTTTACACGTCTTATTCTTTGTCCTTAGTGCATGCACTTTTTTCGATGTATTAATAGCTCGAAGCTAAGTATTTTGTCTTTCTCCTGCTGACAAGCACTTTACTTCGTTTAAGCAATAGACTTTTAACTTCCTTTTCCTTATCCTCCAAATTGAGAACTTCAGGAAGAAGCAAGATCGGTTGGTTCTCTCCGCAACAACAGGTTAGCAAATCTTCTTGGTTGTTGTTGCGAGGGTGATGAGAGGTTGCTTGTGGCAGAATTTATGCCCAATGAGACACTTGCAAAACATCTTTTTCACTGTAAGTTCAACTATATTTTTACTTTTGTTTTCCATCCTCGTCCTGGAATTTAGGGCTAGATTGATTCCCGAATTCTCTTTTTGGCGTAAATATTGTTGTTTACTTTGTTAATTATCGTCGTATCACATCACCTCCACAATAACTTTCCATTTTCATCCTATTTTAATTTTGTGCGTTACATTTCCACTTACCGTGCTATTTTCTGGGTAGATCTAGCTTAGATATCTAAATTGTCCGTATATAGGTGCCCCAATCTCATCTAATCTCATTTCAGTTTGTTTTTTATGGGGGGGGGGGGGTATAAACTTGCATTTGCATATGTTCCTTGTTATACTTATCCATAAAACTCTTTATCTCTAAAGTGATCTTTCATAGTTTCAACTTTTGGTTGACTAGCACTAGTTTCATTAATTAACAAAAATATCATTTGCCAAATAACTTGCACAATAAACTCATCGTGTATACTATTGGTTAGCTCATCTATAAGTTGGGTAAACGAGTAGACTCATGCCAAATTTTTGGTGCAAGCCCATAGTTTGTAGGGAAGTCCTCAGAATCTCTGTTTTCAAATTTAACCGGTCTTTCATATTTATCATTTTTTATATGTTTGATATTCTTCTTCTGAATCATCCGAAAAGGGGTAATCTATCCCGCTTCTT